CATGGTCGATTTAGTAAATGTCAAAATAAAAATTGAACAGTACAAGACACTACCGCAGACAAAGTTAAAAGGCATCTAGTTTGAAAAAGATGCCAATTCAGTCCATGGGTTTTGAACAAACATTACAATTCAGTTCAATAAATTAATAGATGTTAAACTTAATGTCAAAGCACAAATAAGTCTTTTCTTTTTTCTCAAGAGAGGACACATACAAAATCATCTGATAAGAGAACAACAAAATCTTGAAATTTCTGAATAACTTTGACCAAAGTTGGGAGTGAGAGTTTGAAGAATACCTCGATTGGAGAAACGTGAAAAACCAAGTTCTCCCTACTTTTGGCCAAGATTCTCTCATTTTTTCAAGATTTTCCTGTTTTCTTTTTTTGATGAGTTTGTAGGGCATTTTGTTCAAAAAAGAAGACTAACTTGTTCTTTAACAATAATTTTAATGTTTGCAATTAGTTCATTGAACACAGTTGTAATATTTATCAAAAACACGGTGACTATATTCTATTTTTTCTAAAATTAAGGGACCTTACAATTTACACTCTTTTTTCAAGTTAGGTAACTGCTATGTAATTAAGGGACCTTGTAATGTACACTATTGTAATTAGACGCAAAAAACTAAGTGACCTTATAACTCAACCCAACTTCCAAATTAGGTAACTGCTACAATAGTTGCAAACAATCATATGAAAGGTCTGGATATAACCACATGAACATGCAAAACATGTGAAAAAAGCTTACTGCTCCATGTGCTGCTTGCTGTTGACGATTATCAGAAGTAACAACCCATACTTTGGGACATCCATCCTCCTTTAAAGCCACAACCTTTTACCAAAAAAAGCCAAGAACATAATAAGAAACTAAAAATAAAACAGGATAAGCACCACAACTTTTTACCTCGAAAAAAGCCTAGACAATGATAAGAAACTAAAAATAAAACAGGATAAGCACCACAACTTTTTACCTCGAAAAAAGCCTAGACAATGATAAGAAACTAAAAATGACACGAGATAAACAGATAGATACAAAAGGGCCTAGCAAAACATTCATATAAACACTTTTCATTAAATAATATAATAAGACTAACCACTTCTGGCTCATGATAAAATTGAAGGTTTGGAGCTATATCACAGCTTAAAATAGCAATTATTTCAGAACATAATGCAGCGCCAATGATCTCAATGACATGAGAGATAGAGGAAAGAGGAAGATTGAGTATGTTTGTGTGTGTACAAATGGATATATCAAGAGAGAATGAGGAACTTGATTAGCCTCTTTCAAGGTTCTTATATTAACTAAATTTTCATATTGCTTACATAGAGAATACCCTCATCTGAAATGATATGAGAGCCTGGCATCATCTCTTACCTCCTTTTCAATCCATGCATCAGCACAAGACTCCCCCGAGTAAACTATATCAATACTGCAAAAATAATTAACTAAATAAACTATATCAATACTGCAAAAATAATTAACTCTTAGTAGCATTAAAGTTAAATGATAACTACCAACTGCAGTTTATCTATCAACTGCAAAAAAAAAAGTACAATTAAAACAATTTTGCAGTTGAACCTATTGTATACTGAATCAGTATGGGAATTGGAGGTCCAAGTAATCGGCTTGATAATCACTACAGCTTCTAGAAGCAACAAAGTCACTACTTTAAGAGCAAAAAAATCCTCCAGATTGGCGAAGACAATCTAAAAGAATTTTTGCCTCAAGAAAAAAACAAACTCTATTCAAGGATACTGACAATTAATTTTATTTGCCAGCTGGGGGCTTAGACATGTAAGACTGAGATCGGCTTATCTGGTGACAACCATAATCGTGGCAAAACTAGCATAGCTAATAACAAAGTGATACTGCAGATTCGCAGAATGTTACCCATTAAAGTTTTCCTTGTGTGTGGGAAGTCCAGACATCATCGCATCAAACACAACTACCACTTTCACCTCTGTAAGTTGTTGCCGAACAACTAGTCAGATAGTGAGACAAACATATGAC